CCACCTTATACACAGGGGCACATGACTCCCCAAAGAGCAGGGTAAAGGAATGCTCTCTGTTTTCTAATAAGCCAAGTACTGGGGAAATTCCAGCTTGTGAAGTTCAGAGCACAGGAGGAATTCATTCCTACAGCATGATATTTCAGTGAAGTGGGTTCAAAATCTAAAGATTACTAGTGAAAAACAGACAATTTCCTTCAGGGCCAGCACCAGTTCAGTAGGCAACTCAAAACCACTAAAAATCTGTCATTCCTTTGGGTAAAGAGTGCCTATTTACAGGCTAAATTGGAGCTGCTKTACTTGAAATTCAGGATTGGATTCTCCCCTCTAAGGCACTGAAACTTTCCAGAAAGGTTTAACAGAGTGATTATCAAACCCAGCCATCTCTGGAACACCACACCGACCAAAACATTTGCTTGCTGAGAAAGAGATAGAATCAGATTCATGGAAATTAATGCTGTCACCTCAATGAAAACTTGGAGGAGCAGATGCATTCGAAGATTTCTGCCCAAATTTGCTGCAGAGCCCTATGACAATAAACTGTTTACATCTGCCCACGCATATCAAACAGGAGGTGCATGAAGGGATGCTCAGAGACAGCAGATGAACACATCCAGTGGATGCAGTCAGGAAATGAAGAGACTTCTCTTTTTCTTGCTTGTTTTCACTTGTTTCATTGGCTCTATTATTATTTTGTTATTACATATTGTTATATGTGCATGCAATGTTTTTCCACGCTTTTTTGAAAGGGAGGATGGAGAACGGTAACGATTCCAATCCTGTGGGCAGGGGCTACAAGAAGAAATGTTGTTTCTTGATAGATTTGATTATTAGAGATGTTTGGAAGCTCAACCAGCTGTTGGAGCTTAGGGGCAGAGCATCTTGGCAAATTTACATGCAGGTAAGTGGTTCTCTAGAGTGAAAGAGCAAGCATCCATTGAACACTCTGAAGAGGTAAGGAGGGTCTGTCAGGAAGATTTTACTGCTCATGTGTCTGCTTTTGCCAAAGTGTGAGAAAACAGGATAGCCACCTCCAAATTTAAAGGAACTAGGAGTTAACATTGCTCCCTGCCCCTAAATCCACATAATTAAACATCTAATTTGTAGGCCCTACGAGGAAAGCCCCCAATGCACCTGCGACAGAGCTGCATCTAAAGCAGGGAAAAGACACGTGGTCTGTGCTTCCATGCCTCATCTCCCTTCAACCTGCCAGGACCTCCCACACAGACACAGCAAGCCCAGCACTAGGTTTTTAAACAGAAGGCTAAATTTTCCCTCCCTGACTTTCATTAAGCAGAGGTCACTGCCTGTGCATAGCCCTGAAGAATAAAAGAGACATAAAAGGGACTTGAGTTACGTCCACAGCAGCATTGTAATTCGGATCAGGAGCAAGCTCTGGGAGTGAAACTCCTCCTCTTCCCCACTTGCAGCACTCAGAACAGTCCTGGGGCAGGGAAGCTGGACCCAGTTTTGTCAGAAAGAAGGGTGGAGGTGCCCTGCAGGACCACACCTGATGTGCTCCCATCGCTGGAGCCGCGGGGCACCGGGAACCCCCCGCGCCCCCGCCGTGTTGACGTCAGGTCTTCATTAACAACTGTTTTGCGCTGGGGATCTACTTATATTGGGCCACAATACTTGCTAATGTAGCCAGAGCCATTCATCCTTTGAAGGCCCTTTTACACTGTCAAAACAGCATGGAAGGGGCCTCCGTGCATTAGAAACCAGGCCCAAGGCACTCGGCAGCTGAGTATCAGTCTTCTGTTTTTTACATGAATAGTCCCATTGAAGTGAATGAGTTTATTCATTCAAGTGAGGCAAGTAAAATTTGGGCCATGGTGTGCACTTTGTGTAAAAATATCTGCAAAGATTTACAGTATTCCCACACGCAGATAAGATTATACTTGGCCAATTTCGCCTCCTACTTGTCTTGCACAGTGACCCAATTTCACAAATTGATACAGGCAGGAGTCTCTGACCGAGCAGCGCCGGACACGGCGGTTCTGGAAGTTCAGCACGTGAGSTTTTCCAGGATTAGTCACTAGAATAATACTATCATCCTTGTTTTGATTAGCGGATCAAAAATTTGGGCATGTTTTAGACAGGATCACTTATCTGTTTCAGTGACATTTTTAAATGGTCACGGCAACATTTCTGTATCCATTAGCAGTGGGAATCTCATTTTAACAAGGAATTGGACTCAGAGTACTTGAGGCTGTCTCTTTAAATCTCTTCAGTAATACTGAGCACACAGATTTGAAAACCCAAAGGACTTCTTTTTTTTTTTCCTGGAAAATCACTCTTTATTTAACATATGATAACTCTGTTATGAAATTTTAGATTTAGCAGGCTATCCACTGCGTGTTATTTAAGAAGYAAGTAACCAGAGGTTATTAAGAACACATTGATTGAGTTATGAGAAATATGTAATAAAGTCGTATTTGGTTACATAACAATTAACTCCGCATCAATGTATTTTTTAGAGGCAGATGGCATTTATTTAACACACAATAAGCATCTTCTGAAATCTAAATTAAATTGGAGAAACTTAATTTACCTAAAAATGATTATGGGCTGAAAAATTCTGAATTAATTTTCAGAACTACACATAAGACCTTTTCACAGGTAGGGAATAAAAGGATTTGGTTACAAAACTGTAATTAAAGCAAACACCACTCAGAGCACAAGACCTCTCTCCATCAATTCCTAATAGGATTTGATTACCCTCCCATATTAATCTGCAATAAGAGTAGAAAATCTCATCTGAGCAGAAAATAACAACTCTCTGCCTAGTGGGTTWAAGTGCAAGCTGGCCACTGAGATGGCCACGGTGTCCTGGCAGTGCTGGAAGGAGTTTCATCCCTGATGGAGGCAGTGGTTTCAAGGTGCTCTCCCGGCACAAAGCAGCAGTGCTGAGGCAGCTTTTTGGGTGCTAATACACTTGTAAATTTGGCCTCGTGTGCTCTGAACTGCTGCGCTCCTGAAGGACACTCCAAGTGTGCTTGCTATAAAACAACAAAGCAAGAGGTGGGGAAGAAATGCAACCAGGGGAGGTGAGCTAACAGTAATGCGAGAAGGTCACTCATTGGGAATGTTCTCTGCCAGGACTCCCAGAGCTCCTGCAGCTCATCCAAGAGCTGTGTAAGAGCATTTAGCTGAACTACCCAGTTTCTCAGGTCATACTGGGGTGGAGTTGCTCCCATTATGGGCTGCAGGGAGGTGCAACTCCTGCCCAGAGCCCCTGCATTTTCCAGTATTGCCATCCCATAGCTGCACACCTGCCAGACAGGAACACACACCCCTACCCTGACCTACAGGATGACATTCACATCTTATCCAGGGGTTTGTGTCTTTGCCTTGCTCAATTCCCATCTCACATCTACAGCTCAGGGGAGGAAGGAGGATTTGTCCCTGTCCCCAGCCCAGCCACCTCCTTGTCCAGGAGCTCTGTGTTGTAAAAACAAGATCCGCTTTGTCCTTGCAAAGGGAATGAGTGAGGGGAGGAGGGGGGGAGATGCAGGCAGAGCTGAAGCCTACAGGTATTTGTGAGCAGCAACAGCAGCGGGAATCACAGGGCCAGAATCTTTGATTGAAAATTCCTCCTGTAACATATGGAGAAAGATTTGCCCTTTCCATGGCAAATCAATGGCCTTCAACTGAGTGCTATGGGCTGAGAAAGGAAGAGCAGACAACAGATCAATAACCTTCCTCAGTATGAACCAATTTAGGAAAGAGCCTTCACCCARGCTGAGCGCAGCACAAAACCAAGCTGCACTCCCAGAGAGGGGCCCCTGGTTCTCCCCTTCCCCACTTTTCCTGCACGAGAGTACAGAGCAGAGCATGATCACCTTTCAAAGAAGTGGCCATCGATGGGTGGGAACCACTCSAGGGTGACGGAGGTGGCGGTGCGGGCCACGATCTGGGGGGCGATGGCGACGGGAGCCGGTTTCTTGGTGGGCTGCCAGCTCTGGTACACCAGGTCCAGGTAGCAGTGCATCCTTGCCACCTGGTTGGGCGTGAAGGAGTCGGTGCAGTCATCGTCTGGAATTCAAACAGAAGCCACGTCAGCCACGTGGGAGCAAGGGGAAGAATTACGACCTGGTGAATGGCAGCTCCTTGGAAGCGCCGGGCTGGGATCCCGCGGCACGCCAGAGTTAATGGTCTGTGAAGGAATTAGCGCAGCCATCACTTGTGGAGGCAGGTGAAAGGAAACAATGGGTAAAAAGGAAGGAAATCAATCAATGAACGTTCCCTCCCCCTGACCTGGGATACACCTGAAGCACACAGAGATCATCCCTAGGTGAGGCAGACACACAAAGGGGAAGGAACAGAAAACCTCAGTGCAGCACCCACAACTAGTCAGGATTTGGGCCACTGGTGGGACTCTGTGTTTAAAAGGATTTTACTTTGAAAGAATATCTCTGAGTAAAGATGGAAGTGCAAAGGATGGTAGAGTAAGGACAAAGCCCTGAYTGGGATTCATGCAAAATATGGGCAACAGACTCTGTCAGATTTCTCAGATTAAAACACCAGAGATTTTAAAAAATACATAATTTYTGAAGTCCTTAAATTTTCTAATGAACAAATAAAAAAGTTCTGAAAGGTCAATTCAAAATATCATTACAAGCACTAATTAAAACAGTAAAATTTTTGGTGCAAAAAATAACTTCAGTTTTATAAAAAACACCCTCATTCCCACTTAGATTCTAACCCCTTTCTGAATTTCTCACAAACATTTTCTGATATTTCGTATTTATTTTTCATTCAAAATGGAGAAATAACGATGCTGGATGATTTCCCATAAATACCCATTTCTCATTTCATCTTGTTTTCTTCAAACATGATTTGGCAACAAGAACACATCCAGTGCCCTCTGAACACCATACAACTTTACAACTACAATGCCCCAGAGAAGCAGTAAATTGYTGTTTCTCTATTGTGCAGGTCCCAGAGGGAATAAATATTGTTGTGCAAAGTCACCCAGCAAAGCTCTGCTGAGGAACTCGACACTAAGCACTTCAATTTTTTTTTTTGCTGGTGTTCTTCCCATCAGATGAAAATCTCTTGAAAACACAGAGTTTCTTCAGATGTGCCTGCAGAGATCCCAGCCCAGCAGAGCTGGGTCCCAGCTGGGACCCAAACAACAATGACAGTTCTGCACAGGTCAAGTGCTGCATTTCTCTGGGAGGATGCAGGGCACTGGAGCTGCTCCGGGAGTCGTGTGGAAATTCAATATTGTGACAGCATTAGGAGGTGCTCTGATGTTTCCAAGTCTGTGCCCCACGGTACTCCAGAGGAACAGAAAAATATGAATTTGTTTTAAAGAGGAGCGAGTGTTTGCTGTCTCTTTTAAAACCTAGCCACATCCTCCTGGAGATCCATGCAGAAGGAGGCAGCTCCAGTCAGGATCCTGCTCYGACTCCAGTTCCCCTGCAGCAGGGACACGCCAGCTCACGTGTTTTCCCATGTCTCTCCCAATTGCACTGAGCAGTGACCCTCCTCTGATCAAACACACCCAGCAGACAGACACACACCACCAGGTTGATAATATCTACAAATCCCTGTGGGTATGCAAAAAGCTGCTTTAATGTGACATCTCTGGATTTCCTCAATAATTATCGATGGTCTACCCCTGAGCGCGCTGTAAAAGCCATAAATATTCTTCACGGAAGCACAGAAGGAGACAAAGGCCCTTAATAGCCATCATAAAAGAACAATAAAATATATATAGGACAAAGCAGTGAGACARTGGCACAGGACAAAGATGACCTGCATTCTCAATCTGTTTAAAAACATCAGCACAGGCTGTGTCCTGGGGGAAGGGAAGGGAAGAGAGGCGAGGGAGAAAGATGTTCCACTCAAAAATCGAGAAAGGTTCAAGATCCTCAGATAAAGCAATAACTAGAAAAATTCAATATTTCACTGGGATGATTATTCCAGTGGAACTCAGAGGCAAAATTCCTAATGATTTCATGAAAAGTCACTAAAAGACTGCTCATCTTTTATTTGGGAACACCACAGATATTTGGASTTGTAAACACAATTTACAAGCCCTATTTCTCACACTACCTAATCTTTTGGCCATTGGTATAACTTGTTATTCCAGGAAAATTAAAAAATTATCGAAGTCAATGCCTTGCTCAGAGCTGGGGGTAACTGGACAGACAAACGGGACAGAGACAAACACAATATGATCAAGCCGTACATGAACAGCAAAACAGAAAGGAAAGAAAGGCAATTCCTAGAACTGTGTGACCTCAGCCTACACATTTCAAAGGTATTTTGACAGCAATTTGATATCCTGATATATTTTACTCCACTGGCAACAACAGAAAAGCAAACAGAGCTTTTCATGTATGAGCTCTAGAGATATCTATYGTGTTGCTCCACTTAATTTTTGAGGAAAAAAGAGAAAAGGTTTCAGTTTGGAACACCAGCACACATCTGATCCCAAGAGCAGATGGGGATCTCTGTGGTCTGCCTCAGCCCCTGAGTCCACTGGCAAGGCAAGTCCTCTTTGGAGGAAGRGAACCCAGAATTTTGAAACAGGCACGCTCCACCCCTTGCCACATTCACACCAGCAGATTTGGTGGGGAGATTTTGTCACCTGGAGTGGCCCTGCCTTATCTGGGTGATGCCACCATGAGGCTGGACCTGKTGCTCAGGCTCCCTGCCCGACCACAGGCACCACAGCACAGAGCACACCGAGGAGCTGATTTGGTGTGTTTGTCCCTGAAAACACCCTCAGAACAGACAGAAAAACAGAGAGAAAATGAAGCATYGCTCCTAGCTGGTGCCACAAAGGGCATAAAAGCATTTCTGTTATAAATCATTTCAAACCATGCCCCAGATGACATTAAACACTTTGCTTCTCTACAGTTTTATTACAGAATAAGCACTCCTGTGACCTTTTGAGTGGGCAATCTGTGTTTTTGCCTGGAGTATAAAGGTGCCCTTCACTGCCTGTGAGTGTTTTGGCTGCCTTTAAAATGTTGTTGATGCTGTCAGCTCACTGTCACAGATTGTCACTGCAGAGAGACCCTGCAGCCCAAAATAAGTGGAAATACGAGTCAAGGTATATCCTAGTCTTTCCGAGAAATAACAGAGGATCTTATGACTCTCCTTGAGCTCCCAGAGGTGCATCAATGACCCCAGTCCAACCTCATCTGCTGGGACAGGGTGGCAGGAGCGAATGGGATATGTTCTGTTGGTAGGAATGCCACAGCCTGGCACATCTGGGCAGCAAAGCTGGGCATGCAGATCTGTAACCACAGCTTTTGATGGGAGGGGTGGTTTTACCAYGCTGCTGTAGAGCCTTTGTAGCTGCACTCCCAGTACAAACCAGGACAGCATACTGGGAGCCCTTGGCCAGGCAGAATCCCACCATTCACACTCTAATGATGGAACTGGGGTGTGAGTGATTCCAAAACAAACCTAAACGTGGTGTTTCAACAGACACCTGAAGGCACAAGCCGTTAGCTGTACACTCATCACAGTTTATCCCACAGCCTCGGTGGTATCAATATTCATCTGACATTCTATATCTCCTTGGGAGAGTGCAAACAATCTCTGGATTTGAGTTTTTCAAAGACCTCATAGATCAGGCATCCAGTTCCCAGAGAAATAGGGTGTCAGGTTTGCTGCAGAGCCTTTAGAAGCTGTTTTCTTAATGCTTATCTCATTCCTTCCCTCCCCCAAACCTTCTGCCTGGTCTTCACATGAAACTCTGCAAAGTTGGGAAAAACTGGGAAAAAAAAAAAAAGGAAAGGAGAACTGGAAAGGACTCCTGAGGCTTTCAGGTCTGATCCCTCATCAAGCCTGCTCCTAGATCTTTATAAGCATAAAGCCCCATAAGAAATAGATTGAGAAATTAGGGGAAATACAGCAATTCTTTGCTCCTGCCCAGCCCCAGACCCACCCAGCAACCCGAGGAAAGCCCAATACCTGCGTAGCTCATGAARTTACTGAAGGGAGTGTTCAGGAAACTGTGGAAACCACAGGTGTCGTTGCCAGGCCCGGGGTCCCCGCAGAGCTTGTGCTTCGGGGCAGGGTTGGTGTCTCTGCACAGGTCCCCAGTCTCRAAGGAGGGCTCCGTTTCCATGCAGGGGTCGCTGCACGAGAGGATCTCGGAGATGCCCCGGAAGACGTGGTAGAGCCCCAGGCTGTGGCCGATCTCGTGGATCATGGTGTGCGTGTGCCCAGGGATCCCGTAGAAGGAGGGGTTCAGCACGATGCCACCTGCAAAGGGGAGGAGAGAACGGCTTCTGGGTTTGCCTGGAGCTCCTCAGGGAGCAGGAGAAGGGGGAAGAACACAATCCTAAGAGGGGATCCACTGGCAGTGCATCAGATCCTCTGCAGCACAGGGAGGTTTTTTCACAGACAGACACGTTTCCTGCACAGCAAAGTTTCATCTCACCCTTAATCTGGGGCTCTAAGGATGAGGAACTGCTCACAGTTGGGGGACAAAGCTTTGAGGGACAAAGCTCAACATCCAAAGCAAAAACATGGCAACAAATGGTCTTTGAACTGAATAAGCTCAATTTGGGTATTTTTTTGTTAACTTGGAGGAAAATCCTGCATGAAATTGCTTCCTACTATGCAATTTTGGATAATTTCATGTGCTTAAAGAGTGTGACTCTGCTCAGATAGGTGTAAGCAATGTACTTGACACAAAGAGTCAAACAAAACAAACCTGGAACACTCTGTGTATATTATTCCACAGGGTAGAGAYGCGAGAAAATCCTATTAACTTCTGAAACACCCTGAGAACTGCAGAAGGTTCCACCAATATTTGCAATTTAAGAGCTGGACAAAGCAAAGTGAGCACACCTGAGGCTGGAGCAGTTTTTGTAGGGTTTCATGGAGGCAGTTTTGAAGRGACTGTCAGGAACACAATGCTCACATACCCAGACAAACCTTGATCTGAACTGCACAGGCCACTGATGAATATGCATAAGTCTAATGTGTCAAAAAAATATGAATTCCTGGGATGTGATAACTCCAAAAGGACTGCATGGTTGTTAAATGCTTGCCAAGGAAACTAACAGTGTTTGTTTGTTTGAATTAAAGTATGTGTAAATTAAATTTGTTTGTATGAATTAAAGAATGTGTAAATAAGCAAATGGCAAATCAGTGAGGATTTACAGCACCTTGAATTAATGACATCAACTGTATTTTTAGCTCATTTAGATGTACTTTTGTATTAAAGATATGCTTGATATTTTTCTTTAKTTAGCTTGTTGACCTCAGCTTTCCCAAGCCTTTTATTTAAGACTCTTTGTGTGTGTCCTGCCTACCAYGAGAAGAGGTGACTGCTTTATAAAAGTTTAGAGTGGGAATATAAATCTTGGACATGKTACTGGAATAATTTAGTGTCAATGAGGAGAGAAAAGGTTTTGGCAGGAGGAACTTTATCAGTGGCTGCAGCACAGAGAAGATGAGATCACCGGGTTCTGATGCACCATAGACTCCTCATCCTCATCYTCCCAGAGACTTGGTTGTAACAACCACGAAATTGGAGGAAAATAAGACCATGAAGTTCTYAAGAAGTCAGCTAAATCCCCCTCTCAAACAACACAGAAGCAATTAGGTCTGTACCATCCCTCACACACGCTGGCCTGCTGCCTCTTCACAACCCCTGATGACATGACTGCCCCAGCAATCAGTGTCAGCACTCAGCATCATCCCCACGGCTGCGAGGATTTAACTCACAGCTAATCTGAATTGATTTTTTGGCAATTTCAGTTCATGACTTCAAGTCCTTCCTCACACGGATATGAAGAACAGAAGATTCTCCTCCCCTTTCATCAGCTTTTATGAGATTGTCATCATCCCCACTTCAGGCTCCTTCCCTTCARTCTGAATCACTGCAATCCCTTCAGCCTTTCCTTGGAGCTCAACCCTTTTCCTAGACCTCCCTGACTGTTGTTCTACTTTGATTTTCCCATTGCCTCACGTCTTCCTCCAAGAACTCTGTCCAAAACACAAAACGCAGCACTTCAGTTGAAACTTTGTCAGCTCAGGGAGGAAGAAGCACTTCGGATGTCCTGAAGGGACACATGCACAATTAAAAGGAGGGAAAAGATCTTCCCTCTGAGCAGGGGCATGTGGGGAAACATGCACTGAGTGGAGAGGAGTCCCATGGGTATGTACAAATACATGTAGAGCATTAAAAAAAAAAAAAAAAAAAAAACCAACAAAACTAAAACAAAAAAACCCAGAAATTTTGAATATGTACACAAATAAAATCTGCCATGCTGCAGAACCTTGTCCATTATGCCACACGTAAAGTCTGCACCTCCTTTTCCCAGCACTGAACTCTTCCTTACACCAGTTCTCYACATTCCCAATTAATTATATACTGACCTACCAGTACGCAGCCCCACAATAAACCCATGGATTCCTCTCTGCCCCTCTCTATAATACAAACTGTGATTCCTCTGCTGCTTGGTCTCTACCCAGCTGGAGCCATTTACACCCAGAGAGTGCTCTGAGATATTTTTGGGGGCTCTGTATCCCCAAAAGAATTCCAGAGCTTGTTTCCCAGTGGAAGGAATATTGGTGAAATTCCTCAGCAGGATGTGCCTTCAGTAAAGGCTGGTTAAATTGTTCTGGCATTGGAGAATCCTGAGGCAGCTGGAGAGGGAGATTTTATTTTTGCCTTTGTTGAAAATTTATATTTTTTATAGCTGTCAAGAATCTAAATCAATTGCAGTTTTACAGAAAAGATAAACTCCCTCACCCAGACAATCTCTATCCCAGCCTTTAGATCTGCACCACAGGACATATTTCATATTTTTTATTAAGTACATATTGGATTTATAGAAGAGAGTAAAAAAGATTAAAGATGAATTCTTACAAACCAAGCACAGGTCTGGGAGGGCTATTATGACAGGAAATTATGAGCATTATTTATTTATTTTTTACTTCTTTTTTCTACGGCAAGTCAAATTTAATCTGTTGTCCAATGTCCATTTTTTTTTCCATGAAAGATCTTTTTTTGGTCAGCRAACTCTGTCAGTGCTCTGCAGGAGCTGAATTTAAATTGTTTTGCTCAGGCATGATGCTGGCAATTAGCTTAACGAAGTGACAGRAGAACTCATCAGGGCTCTGGGTGAGCCCCAGCCTTCTTGCAGAAGGTTCTTGGTGTTGTGGAGCTCTCCCCTTGTTCTCTGCTCCCTCCCTTGGCAACACCAAGGGAAGCTGTGAAAATCCTCATTTAGGGAAGGAGCAGCCGTATTGCAGCCATATCCCACTAGGGAATGACTCTGGGGCTGAGGTCTCACAGAGTCACGGAACGTTCTGGGTTGAAGGGACACATGAGAGTCATCAAGTCCAACTCTTCAGCGAATGGCCCATACAGGGATCAAACCCACAACCAGCAACCCACACTGGTTGTCATCCCAAAGTGACAGAAACCCCAGCTCTGTGGGTGCTGGTCAGGGCTGGRGTTAAGATCTGTCCTTGTTTGTGCCAGATGTTGCTTTGGGGAGTGGTCACTGGTGGGCATTGACAGAACCTTCTGGTTTGGGAGTGTCCCAGTTGGAGCCCACAGTGATGGGGCTGTGGGCAAATCCGAGTGGAATTGGCTTTGGTCCCAGCCGAGCTCAGCAGGGAATGGGATGGGATGGGATGGGATGGGATGGGATGGGATGGGATGGGATGGGATGGGATGGGATGGGATGGGATGGGATGGGATGGGATGGGATGGGTGTCAGTCCTTGGGAAGGGAAGCTCACTCACACTCCTTGCAGAGCAGCTGCAGAGCTGGATGTTGTAATGAAACATTTACTGAACTGCAGGAGGGCAGCCAGCTCCCACTTGGTCTGACCACAGAGCTTCTCTCTGCCATGGACACAGGTGACCATAAAGACAGGGTAACATCTTATTTTTGGGGTATTTTTGGCCATGGAAAAGCCCCCAAGACTGATGGCTACAGCTCAACTCGCAYTGTATGYTTTAGGATAATAAACACTGCTTGCTCTCCTCATTTAGGTTTATTTTCACCATCTCTTTTTTATTTAGCTCAGCATGRGGTTGGGCAATGTAAAAACTGACTGAAACAGTCTGTTACAAAGATTTAACTTGGCTGAAACTGGACTTCACTGCCAGCCTAGCAAGGTCTGGACAAGCTGAAGAAATATCTGGAAAACCAAGGAGAACCCCTGCACAGAGGAGCTGACCAGAGCAGGCTTGCAGCCCGAGGGWGGTTTGTGAAGTCAAGAGAAGCTCCTAGTGACTCAGTCAGTGCCTTGTGAAGCTTTTGAGGCTCCTGTGACATTTTGCAGGGAACACAGGTCCGGTGGCACTGCAGGTGGCAGTGAGTCATTGGGGAGGCTGCAGAGCTTTGTCTGGATCCCGGGGCTCCAGCAGCAGCCTGGTTATGAAACAYGCCAGGCGATCTGCAGGGTAGCCAACTCTTTCCAGTTTCACTCAAGTGAACATTAGAAACACAATCCCTCAGCTGTTTGCTCTTTTGCACATTGGTAGAGGAAAAACAGCAGCAGATTTCAGCTGCTGTCTGTGAGTTAATTGAATACTTGCTAATGAGCTAAGGATCAGAACCTAACAGGCTGAGGGTAAAGATTCACCTCTGTCTCATCCCCACACCTAACCCCCAATCCTCTTTGCAAACTGCTCCCATGGAGTGAATGCCCTGTAAAGTAGCTTCACTGAGAAGGTGAAATACTTTCAGCTTGACATCATCTACAAATACCATAATATGCTTTGGGTTTATAACCTAATATTTTCCTGGTTGTGAGCCAGTATCTGGGAATCGTGAAATACTTTTTTTCCCCTGACTATATATTAGAGGAATGATAAGAAATCAGAACAGAGCTTAACGCATATTTGTCTTTCCTTCTTAGTGCCTCAAAAGAATGCTTTGCAAAGAAGAAACATCTTTATCACTCACCTAGATGCATCAAGGCTTCTTTGTCCCAGGGCCAAGTTGCCACTCCAGCCAGCTCTTCCTCAGAGGAATTGGCAAAGAAGATGTTGAGGTGTGTGGATCCATCCAGTTTGAGTATGTTCTTAAGTTCATTGACATCTAAGTATGCCCTGTAGGAAAAGAAAAGCATTTTTTTTTCTAAAGGTGACACAAAAGCAACAAAATATTGAAGAAGTGCCGCAATCGAAGCAAAGGTCTTATARCACCCTGCATATCAATCACCTGAAATGTTTTAATAACCCACTCCCAAACTTTGATTACTTTGCATTCAGGTAGTGAATCTCATCTAAAACTTCAGGCCATTGATTAACTAAGGCCACAAAATCCAAGATAAATACATAAAGCTGTCCACATTCTCAAGATAAGTATGGGAATCTATTTATTATGAATGTAATTAACCAAGTATTATGGTCAGTAAATCTTTTTACACCAGCAGTTACCTTGCACATTTCCTCTAAGCTGTTGTTGTTTTTACCTCCAATTTTCCTTCACAATAACGAGTTTCACATCCTCAGGCTGGCAYCAAAACTAACACCAGCTCACAGAGTCTCTCCTTCAGCATCAGTGGCTTTCACTTACACTGAGCCCCACRTGGCCTAACCCTAACCCCTAATCCCATGGCTGCTTGGGAATTTCTATTTACAACAGAAAAAGTTGTGTTGAGAGGTTTCCTTGCAAGAGCTCTCTGCAGGAGTGGTACCATACTATGACATAAATTCCTAGGGCTCCTTAGGTCCTCCCAGGGTGAGCAGCGTTTCTCCTTAGCTTTTGGGATGCCTGGAAATTACAAAGTTTGCAGCTTGAGGGCTGTCAGAAACACTTTGTGCTCCTTTGAAAGAGTAGACTTTGTCAATACTGGAATAATGGAGCTACTTACTGATACCATGGTGCCACACTGCTTGCACTGCCCCAACTCACAGTAAAGCTGGAGAAAAGAAAACCTGATTAAAATCATTGATTCTCTGTTTTCAGCTCACAGCTCGCTTTTGATAYGAACTGTTGTGATAAAAGCTAGAACAGGGATGTGTTGTAGTATAGTCACTTGACACATGGAGATCATAGAGACAGTGATCACCCTGAGCCAAGCATGGTTCAAAGGCTGTAAGGAGGGGACACCACGATGGTCTGGAGCAGGTTGATTCCCTCCTGGAGCCCCAGTTTGTGTGGGAGTAGGGTGTGTGTGAGGCTCACGTAGCCCTCCCAAACCACACACCCTCCCAAGCTCTGAGAAGGGTTCCCTGCATACTTTGCACGGCTTTTGCTCCCAGAAGGGTGAATTAAAAATAGGGGATTTGGCTCAGCACCAAGATCTTTTTGTCCTTCCCTGGAGGACTCCCCAATGGAAAACACATTCATATTTCCACAGTAGCTTCCCCTGCCACTTGCTGAAGTCATTGCCTCCAAAATAGATCATGGCTGGGTGTCCCCAGGCCCTGGCTGACTCACRGAGGAAGATGTGCTCTTTGGGGACTCCAGTGGAAGGGGATGTTTCCATTCCACAGAGTGTTTATCTTCTGATTGAATGGGKATGACATCCTGAAGAACAGGTCAGCACTGTGACCCTTTACACATTTCTCATCTCTCCAGTGCTCCCAACACATCCATGGAAAACACAAAGAGCTTCCCCCTTAACTCGAGTTTGTCCTGCCTGCATCTGCCCAATGCTCTGAGGCTCTGCACAATCTGCTCCCAGGATCTCCTTTGTGCCTTGGGAAACATCTTTTCCAAGCAGGGGCTCCCACTTAACCACATCCACGAGCAGCAGTTTGAAATCACATGTGAGAACTGATGTGGCTTGCCAAATGCCAGCGAGAGAGCATCAGGGGAATGCCTGACAGGGGGTGTGAGCACGGGGAGGGCATGGTGAGTGTGCCCACACYTGGGGCAAAGTGGAAGGGAGAATGTGAGAGCGCTGTGATGCCTCCTGCAAGAGAGAGGGGCTGGAACAGAAGGCCTGAGTTGGATTAGAACAACGTTTGTGTGTTTGTGTCGCAGCAGGAAGGAAGGCCCTGCTGCCCGGGCTGAGACAGTGGCTGTTGACTCTGGATGCAGATGCTTTATGCACATGCAAATCCCTGTAGGAGGAACTCGAATCCAGCTCCCCTCCTGAGATTACCATTTTTATCCTTCCTCTTCTCTTACGGTTTCAAATAATCTAAACCAATATTTCTTTACTCTCAGCTGTCTCTTTGCTTATCATTTACACAATCCAATCTCCATTCATCTCCTCAGTGCACGGCCACAACCACTCTTTCTCTTCTGTACAGCCCATGTGCTTCAGCATTGGTGGCTGTTTTGTACATGGATTATTGCTGCAGAAAACATCCAGGGCAGACAGCTTTTAACTAACTGGCCAGTGATGTCAATGCTTCACTGAGACTGGACTCGTGCCTCACGTAAATCCACCCTGCTAAGTCCTTTGGACTTGGGTTTATGGTATTTCCCTGACCACTTGTCTCTGCTAGCCAGGGGGAGGCTGTGAGTGAGCAGAATGTATTCCGTGGTGGAAGAGCAGAATGCCAAGAGGATTTTTAGCAAAGGATCTGCCTGGCTGAGGGTGTAAGCAGATCATGCTTGCAAGGCAGTGAATGCAAACTCCTTCAGAGAATCAGCCAGCAACCCCCAGCACGTAAACATGCCYGAGCCCTGAGCTCAGGCAGAGCCCTGGGAAGGGTGTGAGTGTGTGTTTGTGTAAATGTGCAGGAGCAGAGGCGTGAGTGTGGCAGGGAGGGCTTGGACCCTACACAYGCGTGAGGCAGCCAGGAGAATGCGAGGAACCAGCACGTGCGTGTGTAAGAGATAAAAACACGAGCTGGAATTCCATCCTCGCCTTCCTCCCCATGTTTCTAATAACCTCCCATCCCTATCCATCATCGCCACATTCCTACACTCAAGGAGGCATAAATTAACTACTTTTGCAGTTCATGTCCAACTCCGTAGCCGCAGGCAGCAGACCCAACCCGTTACCAGGTCAAAACAGCGCTCAGTTATTGCTTTGGAYTGGGCTGCCTCCCCCCTGCTCCCTTATCAGCCCAGACTATCTGACCCAACGCAGTCTGCGAGCGCTGCTTGCACTCCTCAAGGTTATGTGGGTCCCCTGACAGAGGACATTATGTCTGTCACATGGGCTCSTGCCAAAGAGAGCCAAAGAGCCCAGCCTTTCCAGCACTGCCAAACTCGCATTTCAAAGACATGAGTGCAGTCTTGGAAAGGGATCAAAGCCTTTCCAACTGTCATTAGAATATTTCCTTTATGCATCTCCCTGTGAGTGCCAGCAACATATTTCATAAAATTCATTGGCTCGAGATGGTACCTCCAATATAAACCTGAATGGGGGAACTGTCAGGGCAAGTCCATGTGGAAAACAAAACAAAACCCAAAGCACAACAAAACACGTGTAATTCCTGTAATGGAAAAAACATACGATGCTGTGAGCGTGCCTGCTCCAGAAAGCCTAATGAGCCTATTAGTGCATCATAAAAGGTCTCCTTTGCTGGAATCTGTTTTAGACATAGAAATTCTATGGGCTGTTTAAGGCCATTTGGGACACCAGATTATATCAGGCAATGCTCRTGTTCCCACCCAGATCTTTTCATCCACTTATTTGTTCAATGCACAGTTTTGGTTTTCTTTTTCCCTCTGCTGCAGTGTAAAGAGCCCTCAGAAACTGTTCTGTGCAGCAGCTCCCCCTTATCCAGTGATATAGACAATGATATATACAATGATATATACAATGATATATACAATGATATATACAATGATATATACAATGATATATACAATGATCCAGTTTCAGTCCAATGGAGCTTTTAGCTCACCCAGCAGCATCTCTGAGCAGCCCTGCCCCTCACACAGCCCACCCCATTGTTCACCCAGCCACTATCCCTTGCCTGTCTCATCTGCCAAACCCCTTTCCTGTCCATTTGGGCCAGGACTCATCCCCAGACGATGAGGGCAAGCCCTTGGCCACCAGCCCCACCTGCCTGTGGGAGCCACAGTGAGGAGCTCCCTTTGCTGGACCTCAGCTCCACAGCCAAACCCARCCACAAACCCTGCAATGAGATGCAAAAACACTTGGCAATGGCTCTTAAACTCAGCTGACACCAGGTCTAATTGTATTGAATCTAGCTTTRGTGACTAGAGTCGAGGAGTTTGGTAATTGGGTTGGAAACTCTTCCTCATTTTATTCCTGGGCAGAGAGTGGCTTCCCCATGTGCTCCAGCCTCTTGCACTGGTGGTTGTTTTTGCAAGAAACAGACACTTCAAGCCCTTATTGTTAGGAAATGCTTCCTACTGTTTGCTCCTAGTTATTCTCTATTTGACTTTGTTTTAGGGATTTTTTTCCCTTCGAAGACGTGTCACTTTACAGCAAGAAAACAAACAGGGTACTTATGGGATTATTTTCAAGACCTCACCCAAACACAGAGTAGGAACTTTGCTCTCTGCTTGCTATGGAGTAYGGTCTGCAACTGCCTGGTGAGTTTTTTTAGGAATGGAAGGCACTGCAGTTCATCCTTCAAAGAAACCCAACCAACAACAACCAAAACCAACAGCATCTCCTGAATTGGGAAGTCAGCCTCAAAATATCTCCATTTTCAATATTGGCATACAATATCCTATCTTTTACCGGCTTGTTTCTGGGTTTAGCACGTGGCAGGACAGAGCGAATCTGCTGGAATCACAGAGGGCTTCACTCTGCTTCTCAAGACTCTTTGTTTCCACTCTCAGAACTGTCAGCCCAGCCTAACGCACAGTGAACAATTTAGACAAAGGGAAAGGGTTTTTTTTGGACAGCCCCAGAACACTCTCCCTCAGTCTGTGCCAGTTCCAGGTGTGATTCTCAATATGGTGGGGCTGACAGGGCTCAGTGGTGCTCCCAGTGCCCCTCCTGCTCTCATCCTGGCCCCAGAATGGTCACTAATTCAGTGGAGAAGCAATGACCACAGCAGTGCCTGTCCTGGTTGCCCAATCCACAGAGAGCACCCAAAATGTCAGGGTGCTGCATCCACCTAGAGATTCTCAACATTTGCAGTGAACAGCAAGGACAGTTTTGAAATAAAGGATGTTCTTCCTCAAGATAATGGCAAGAGCCATGACTGCAGCAGCACTG